CAAGCATACATTCTAAGCCAGCCTCAGGAGGAGAACTATAACAACTCCTCAAGAAGCATTTCTTAGATTAAGTGTGAACCTTTAAAACATTATACTATGTGAAATATACCAGATATAGACTTAACCATACATACACTTACATATGAAATCTAAATTTGTCAAATACCTACGTAGTGAGTAGAATCGTGGTTACCAATGGCTGAAAAGTGAGGTAGATAAAGAGATGTGGGTGAAAGATGTTTGCTGCAGTTATGTAGGATGAATAAATCTAATGATCTAATATACAGCATGGTGATTATAGTTAATATAGTCTTGAATACTGGAAATTTGCTACGAGGATATTTTAGGTGTTGAGCACAAAAAAAATGGTACATGTCTGAAAGGAAGATATATTAATTAACTTGACTAGTAATTATTTCACTATCTGTAGATCACATCATGTTTTATACCTTAAATATATAGATTTGTATTTTTAAAAATAAAAAAAAATGCATAAACCAATGTTTCCTTGTATACACCTGGCCCCCAAAACTCTTCAGCCAATCCACATGTATGGTTCTATGTAATAGTCTCCCTTACTTTTGACCATTCATCCTTGACTGTTTGTCCTGGGAACACAAACTGGTAAACTATAGTAGTTCTTAGTACACAATAGCTTCCACGTTAAAGATCAACCCCTAAGGCATTGGTTACTTATAACTCAGTTTAAATGAAATAAAAAGCAATGTAATTCTAAATTCATCCAGCAACAAGCATTTCCAGATACTTCTAAATGCCTTGCACAGGAACACCTACTACATTCTTGGTTTTTGTTTTCCTACAAAATATAATTTCTGACTTTTTATTTTAAAAAAAATAGCTGTCTACTCTGAAATATCATCAACTCTTGACTCAAATATCAGAGCCCCTCAGCACTCTGATCTACAAGTACTTCTGTATCAGTAGTTCCGACCAAGAGTTTGCATTTCTGAAAGAAAACAATTTACAACCACACAAACCTTTAAGTCTGAATCTCCAAGTAAAAGACCATTAAGTTGAAAGCACTTAACTTTGAGTAACACTCATTTTTCTCTTTTTTTGCCAGCAAATTGAGAGAAACTAGTTACATGACCCACCTCCTCTTATGGCTCTAGCAAAACGCTTCTTGTGCTCTGCTTGTTGTTTGGCATGAGATAGAGCAGCATCTATCTCATGTCATTATTTTACTTTGTTGAAATCTGAAATTTGGTGAAAAATCTGACATGTACATGTATATGCCTCTTATACATTCCTTAAACGAAGGTGTAGAACCGCTACAATTCTGCAAAAGTACTTAACAGTCCAGAGAAATCTTGTACATGTTCACTTTAACTATAGAGTGTTATAATCTTTATTTTTTTATCAGAGCTCAAAACTTTGACATGTGACTATATAAAAATTAAATATCGGAATCACAAAATTTTACCTATATTTTGTTTTAAATGTTTGAGTTGCAAAATATTAAAAGTAGGCCCACCATATGATCTTGCAATTCCACTCCTAAAGTTAACCTGCGTAATATACAAACAATAATTGAAATGGACGTAAGCACACCTATGGTCATTGCCGTGCCACTTACATAAGCAAGTTAGAGAAACAACCAAGCTCCCAGTGACAGATGAGTATGTTAAGATATGATACATGTAAACTATGGAATACTACTCAGATATATCAAAATATGAACTCTTGCCCCTGGCAACATGAATGGAACTGCTAAGTGAACTAAGTTAGAAGGAGAAAGATAGGTACAGATTATTTCACTCATATGTGAAACACAGAGAAACAAAGAATCAGACAAAACCAAGCCAAAAACAAACTCAGAAATTTGACTGTAAAATTGAGTTTCCGGGCTCTCCCTAGTGGCACAACAGGTTAAAGCACCACATTAGGAAGCTCTCCAAAGCCACTGCAGCACGAGTTCAATCCTTGGCCAGGGAGAGCTGAGCCACATGGTATGGCAGACCTCGTCTGAACCCCCCACTACTAACTTAAGCAGTGTACTTTGTCAATCTGCCTGTTCTGCTCCCCACTCTGTCTCTGGTCAGTCCTCTCACCCACCACACCTCTAGCCTGTAGCCCAGTTCTGTAAGCATAAATAAATATTTTTTAAAATATTGAATTTCTGGGCCCTCCCTGGTGGTGCAGCGGGCTAAAGCACAGCACTGCAAATAAGCCACAGCCGCTTTAGTGTGAGATCGATCCCTGGCCCTGGAGGTGACCCACATGGGTCTCTCCTGACCCGTCTGCTGCTCAGCAGTGTACTTCATTGATCTGCCTGTTCTACTCCCTACTCTGTATCTAGTGAATCATCTCACCGCCCGCCCTGCACCTCTGGCTTGTACCGCAGTTCTGTATGCATAAATAAATAAATCTTTAAAAAAAAATTCCCAGAAGGGCATTAGGAACGTGGTTAGCAAAGGGGGAAGTTACTAATGATACATAGTGGAGTGCTATATAGGTGCCTTAGTGGGTAGGTATGGTGTGGTTTCATAAATCTAAAGAGGTATGAATCTATACCTGTGAATTATATACAGTTATAATCGAGTGTTACCCTAAGAAAAAAAAAATAAAGGTGATCTAGATAAATTTTATTTTACTCAGCTTTTAAAAGTCAATAATAGCAATAAAAGTCAATAAAAGTCACCCTCCCTGGTGGCACAGCGGGTTAAAGCACTACACTGAGAAGCTAAAGCCACTTCCGCATGAGTTCGATTCCCGCCTGCCCCGGAGGTGACCACATGGCTGGCAGACCTCTCCTGACCCGCCCGCTGCTCCCCTCAGCAGTGTACTTCATTGATCAGCCTGTTCTGCTCCCCAATCTGTCTCTGGTGAAGCCTCTCACCGCCCCTGACTCTGGCCCGTCCCCCAGTGCTGTACAGATAAATAAATCTTCAAAAAAAAAAGTCAATAATAATGTATTAGATGGTGATTAATTACTTCCATACTGCAGTATATCATTCTTTTATTAATTCCAGAACTATCCTTTTAGTCATAGTTTTACCCATGTGAAGTCTAGGTAAGCAGTATTAAGACTGACATATCAGTTGGGTAATAGCCAACTTCCATCAGATTCTGAGGTACCAGCAGGATTAATAATAATTAAAATATATACCTAATCGTTGCCTGTCTGTTGGTAGTGCTAATTGCTGTCATTGAAAAGACTGAATTGTTTAAGAAAAAGAGCAAGAAAGAGAAAGTCATTCTTCATTGAAGCTATCTCCCTGTATCATTGGGAGCCTATTTTTAGTACCTATAGAAGTCATGATTTTTGAATTTATTAGGAGCTGTGATGAATGATAAAACAAATCATTCATTTACATATCTTGACACTGCTTTGGAGAATACTTACTTCTTACAAGCAAGTGTCACATTGTGTATAAAAGCAGGCTAATTGTGTGCTAATCTGCATTATCTAGAACTCTCTGATGTGGTATTTTATCAATAGTAATATTAATTTTACTTATTTCAAATGTATGAAATATCTTCTAACCCCTTTTCCTTTTATAATTTCTGCTCTCTTACATTGTATAATTTTACATTCAGCTGTTAATTAAGATTAGGAATGCAAGTTATAGAATACATACCCACTTTAAATTATCAGGCTTTTGTAATACATGAAAATACTAATATTTTATCCAATTTAAATGTAAAAAGAGAAAGCATTTAAGAACATTACTAGATGTTGTGTTTGTTTTCATGTTTTTTTTTACACATAGTTCAATAGTTTCCTTGATCTACTGTTTCTTACAAAAATCTGCCATGCTTTGTGAACTTCACTTTCTAATCTCATACAGCAACCCTTCCTTTATGTCATTCCTGCTCTCCTTGGTCCCAGAACAGTAGGGTTGCCTTGACAAATCTATTCAAAAGCCATTCCTCGGCCTTTATTGGTGGGGACCAGGGCCTTTGAAATTCTCTCCTCACTGCAACACAGCTGACATCTTCTTCCAGACAGAATGAATTAAGGAAATACAATAAGATACTTGATCTACCAGTCAAGGATCTTTCCACAGTAAGAACGGATTCCATGGTGCACGAAGAGGGCAGCAAGCATCTAAAAATACACAATACATGCTTGTTTACCAGAATAGCAATCAGCGATTTTTCCAACATGATTGATAGGATGATTTCTTTTAAAATGAAATCTGTCTGGAAAATCAGAGAGGGAGAGAGAGAGTGTGTGTGTGTGTGTGTGAGAGAGAGACAGAGATAGAGATAGAGATAGAGAGAGAACAGGATGGTATTTTGGAAATTGTTTAAAGCTAAATGAAGTTAATCACACTTTTTAAACCAGAGTCTAAATACAGACTTAAATATATGGAGAGAATACAGTTATTTCGATTTCATTTTCTGAGTTGTAAATCGTCTTTATCTTGGAAGTTATCTTTTAATATTGGAGGTTTTGTATCATCAGACAAACAGCTACAATTCATCAGGTTGTTTTTCTTTTGAACTATTTTGATATAGCCTTCTTTGTCCAGTTTGAAGTAGTAATTAAAAGATAGTATGTTACAAGAGTTAAATTTTGAAGAACAAATGAAAATTTTATTTCTTCTAGTACTACAAAGTATTTTATAGCTTAAAAATGTAACTATTCTTTCACATATTTAAATTAATACTTATTTCTTCTCAAAGTTAAAATGGATCTCTTTTTTAATGTGTCTTCATTTAAATCCTTATATGTATTTGTTTATTTTTTGGCCATCTAGAAATATATTACATCATGGTTCACAGAAGATTACATTTTCTTGATACTAGCACAGGTGATTTGCTGAATTACAGAAGGTAAACTTTATTCCACAGTCATGTTGTTTATGAATAATTACTGACTGTTTACATATGAAAAAATTTTGCAGTGTTGAAAATAAATTGAATATACTTCTTAGTGATTCATTATTTAGGACAAATTAATTTCTGCTGCCTAAAATTTTGGTCTGGTTTAAATCATATTTCAACAGAAAGTTGTCTCTATTATATTGTAGAACTGTTGTAATTGGGTCTCCAGCTCAGAACCATTAGATACATCAGTGGAATCCATGCTGCCCGACTGTCCCCGAGTCTCAGCAGGTATGTGTTTTGATGAGAGATGTATGATTTCTTTTTTAAGGTGAGAAATATGCTAATGAAATATAAGATTCTGTTTTGTGAATTACGCATGTTATTCTGCCTTGAATCATTGAATTTTTGGTAACATATGGCATGGGTCTGATCCACTAATTCGTTAAGTAGCTGAAAATGCTTACCTACAAACTCCCTATAAAGATGAGTAGGTGAAATAATTTGAAAGTAATATAGGCAGTTGCTGTTGGACTATACAAAGGTAATATGTACATAAATAAGTTGGTTAAGAGATAGACTTCATAACCATACAGGATCTCAAACAAAATATTTGCCTCTGATTGTGTACCAACCAGTTAGAATCAAGGCTAGAAGAGAAAGTGCTATGACCCACAGTCTTTAGAAAAGAATTTCATGAAAAATATTCCGGATGGACCTTTAACATTATTGGCTGATACTTATTATTTCACCAGTGGTATCCTCTAATTTTAAAACTGAAAGATAAAAGTAATTATTATTAGAAGCTGTTACATCTTATATTAGATGGTAGGGAAGAATGGAGGAAAAAAGAAAAAATATATACAGTAAATATATATCCATTTCAAAATAAAGGCAAAATATTCATAACTATTTGCCATTTTTGCAACTAGTCATATAGTTGTAGCTATTTATTTATAACTGACATTATACCATATTCCGTTTGCTCTCAATATGCAACTCAACTGGTCCTAGTTCTTTAGTTCTTTGCTGGTCAAGATGACCTACATCTTTATTCCTGAAGAGTCTGGGTCATTAATAATGCTGCATGAACTATATTTTGCAGTTTTCAGTTGATACTAATCACAGGCAATACTAGTAGATGTCTTAGAGGAATTTCTACATTGCAGATGTCCTCTTCTTTCCCCCATTTTGTAGAACGAACTCAATTTTCCCTTAGTAATTTTGATCAGTCACCGCAGATACACTAGCACTCTCCCTTGCTTCTTGATTCAATGGTATAAAAAGCTCAAAGTTGCAAGATGTCGGTGTCACCTTCCAGTTCAACAAATCATTGTAATGTCGCCTGATAGACCTTTCAGTAAACAGAGCCTGAAGTCAGAGTGAAAAGCAGAACTTTTGCAAATAGATCACTAAGGGTAATAGAAGAGGAGCCAGTCCCATTCATTTCCTGAACTGGAGGAAATAACAGAGTACATTAAATGCTAATTTATAGCAAATAACACATTCTGAAGACCATTGTCTTAACCTCACAAGATATATCTCCAGAGGAAGCACCATAACTGAATTGTGAAAAGTCCTTTCACCATTCTATCCAGCCTGCTGCTTAAGGGCAATGGAGAACATTATAAGATCAGTGGGTGTTGACAGAGTAGGCTGTTTTCTTGTCCTCTCATTTGCTCTCTGGTAAAAGCCAGGCTCCTTTTCATGAGCTGCTCCATAGAGAAGCCCACTTGGCAAGAAATCAGTATAACTAAGAAAGAGCCAGAGAGGACCTGTTGCCTGCCAACAGGAAAGCGAATGACACTATTATGGAATCGATCTTCTCCAGGTTGACCTTGAGATATGGACATTCCAGCCTATTCCTAATATGGCCTTTTGGGAGACCCGAATTAGAATCATTCAAGTAAGCCATGTTCAGAATTTTGGCCATCAAAAACTGTAATAAATGTGTAATGTTTTAATCTGCCATACTTGGGGGCGATTGTTCCATAACAATATAAAATTAATACAGAAGGCTTAAATATTAACTCTGGTGGTCAGTTACTCAAGCCTAGGTAGAAACAACCTTAAATGGCTTTGAAATAAAACCTTGTGAAATCATATTTGCGTTGATACCATAGGATTTGAAGTCACTGAAGACAGTTCATTCCTACCCTTGCTTCCCCACTACCGGATAGATTTTGCTGTACAGTTTGTCAAAGATAATATATTAAGTTTATTCTATACCACACCCAATAGACATTATACTGATTTGTCTTGTCATTCAGCTCTTCTCTGCCCAAAGTTTTTCTTAAGACAGAACTTGCTATTTTCTGTAACCTTCTAGCTCCTGTGAGATTTTATTCTAACAAGTTGGACTTAAGAGATTCCATATTCATGTCTCAACCTATGTCCATTTATTCCTCAAATATTTGTTGAGCACTTACTCTTTTCTTTAAACAGCAGACTTACTAGAATGATAGAACTGTATGCACACTGGGGACAACGTAGTGAATTATAGCTTATGACTATCTTTTTTCCTAGAAAAAAATTTTTTTAAAGATTTATTTATTTGTGCATACAGAACTGGGGTACAGGCCAGAGGCTCAGGGGCGGTGAGAGGCTTCACCAGAGACAGAGTGGGGAGCAGAACAGGCAGATCTACGAAGTACACTGCTGAGGGGAGCAGCGGGCGGGTCAGGAGAGGTCTGCCACGCCATGTGGTCACCTCCGGGGCAGGCGGGAATCGAACTCATGCAGAAGCGGCTTTAGCTTCTCAGTGCTGTGCTTTAACCCGCTGCGCCACCAGCGAGGGCCTAGAAAAATAATTTTAATGGTGTGACATGATCTTAAAGAAAGATTAATTTAGTAAATGGATAAAAGAGACTATCAGGTGGTTTTGCTTACATGGAGAATATAGAGAAACTGAACAAAGGGTCAGAAAAAAAGATAAAACTTGCAAGCTGAGACATATAGCTGGGCTGGGAAAGGAGTGGGCTCAAAATGGGAGGGAAGAGCACAAAGGGCTGTGGTGATGGAGAACAAATGCTGGGATGGTGGGAGAACTCTGAAACTACCCCTGAGGGGGAGAGATCAAATTATGTACAAAGATTAACAAAGATGTGAGAAAATAAATTTAATAAAAGGGGTGGGGAGGGGGAACAGGAAGCCAGAGGCAGTAGACTAAGCAGACTGTCATGATAAAGGAAACATTTTAGTAGGTGGCATGAGCTGTATTGGGGGCAATGGAAATGGAGAGGATAAGAGAATTCTAACAAATACAACTAGGGAGAACCTACAATCTTGATGATAAATAGATTGGATGTGGAAATTAAGGGAAAGGGAGGAGACAATGATAATCTCCACTAAAAGTGGCTAGAATAATGAAAATACCATTTCCAGAAGTTTAGAGGGGTTAGAGAAGGAAATAATTAAGGGTAAGAGTTGATGAAATTGTGATATGACCTACCTGAAGTGATGAAAGGAAATTCACAAGGAACTAACAAAAGGCTGTTGAAGTACCTTTGAAACTCCTGAATTTTCTAACCAATAATCCTGTTACCTTTAATTTAAAATGTTAAAGATATTAAAAATGTGCTGAGCACAAGTTAATAGATATCCATATCACATGTTTAATTTAGTGAAGTCTCTTCTTTTCAGCTTTTTAAATTATAAAATTTTTGTTAAGTTTTGACTTGCCTTCATCTTTGACTTAATGTTTCATTAAGTCACATGAAATTACTGTAAAAATACATATTCATTCAATATTGTATTTTCCCTTTTCAAAAAATAGATCTATTATTCATCTGGGCATATCAGAACTATAAAGATAGCACCATAAACTTAAAAACCTTTTTTAAAAAGGGGGAAAAGAGCCATTGTAGATAGCTTAGGAGTTAGAAATTAAACTTAGAGAATTTCTGTATTTCAGATAACCTTGGTGTGGCTCTAGATGTGAAAGAAGTACATTATTGATAACTTGTACTTAATTGGCCAGTCCCCTTCCACCACTGAAACAAAAGTTTTGGAAATTTGTAACTTCTACGTAAATTTGAATGATAGGAAACCCTAATTTTTCTTTGTTTAAGTAATCCAGATTGACTGTTTACACTGACTAAACTTACTGAGTAGCTGCTAAATATTCACTTTATTGCTGAAAATACATCTTACGGGAATGACAAAGAGGACTTGTGTTTCTTGCTAGTGAATAATCACTTCTTTCTAAAGGTAACAGTGAAAAATCAACAGTAATTGCTTCTAGGATTTGGTGTCATTCAGAATGTGTAGACAGGTTGAGCTGCCTAATATGTCTAATATGCTTGAGACACAGCTCAAATTAATTACGTAATTGAAAATCTATACTTTGCCTTGTAAGCAGACCTTAAAATTCAAGGCATATTAGCAAATATGAAACTGTGCCACCTTTTGACTACATGTACTGTGCAAGAATTGTAGAATTCCTCTTTCCATTCAAAAGATATATATATATATACTTTAATCCTTTAAGTGATGTTTTCATTAACTAAATAACAATTTTCAGACAGTTTTTGTTCGTAACTGTGGAAATGGGCTTATTATTCGTAAGCAGTTATTCGTCAGTTAGTTTTCCTATTCATTGTTCTAGACTACCTTATAATTATTAGGTAATAGAAGGGATGAGTTTTCTAAAAGTTGACCACCAGAAATTCTAGTGTTTTTGGTGAATCATTCATTATAATTAACTGAAGTCAGGAACTTTGGAGAAAAGAAACTAATTAAAGAACCATTTAAACCAACCTACCTAAGCTAAATATGTGATATTTCTGTTGATCACCAATATTTTCCCTGATTACTTATCAATCCAATATTACCTTGTGGTGATTATTCTTTCTGCTTTCCAGTAATCACAGTGAATATAAGTAGCCTCATTCCAGAAATCTCGCCATAAAAAATAAATTAAAAATAGTCACCATGTTTTTTGCAGCTTTCTGAACCAATTTGTGAAAAATCCTTGGAAGAATTTGGCAGTAAAGGTGGCAACTCTCCTTTTACAGAGCTAACTCTTCCCTTTAAAGATTAAAAAAAAAAAAAAAAGATTTTAACTAATTATGTTGGAATGCTTCTGGATAAATAAATAATAAGAATTTGCATTTGTACTTCAAAATGTTAAGTTATGAGTTAAGTGGATGGCCTATTATTTCTCTTGTCTCCACAGATGTGTCTCATGGCACTTAGTGCTCTAACCCTAATTATTGGGAAAGTAAGTCAAGTCCACTGTATCTAAAACAGAAATTTCCATACTTTTTACCATATGTTATGTATTGATCTCA